ATAAAAACCACCCCAATGTCTCCCCACCTCTTTCCCCCCCAACCCCAAGGATAAAACATCCCCCAAACCCCACGGGGCTGTCCCCCACCTGCTGCAGCGTGGACTGCAGCTGCTGCTCCCTCTCCTCTGTTTTTTGGAGCACAGCCTCCCAGCARTTGTTGAGCTTCTCCAGGCGGCTCCGCAGGCTGCTGGCATCATCTCCAGCACTCGATTCCAGCAGCTCATTCCCAGCTTTGTTCACCGTCTCCACTGTGGCCTGGTGGGCCAGGACGTCRTTCTTCAGCACCTGGATGAGGGGGAAAAGCATTGAGAACCTCTCCTGAGCATCTCTAATCTCAATCCTTTCCTCAAGGATTCAATCCCACCCTGGGATGGGCTGGAGATGAACCTGGAGCGGGAGAAACACTCACGTGGTGCTTGGCCAGCTCCACCTCGATGACTTTGGGGTCGCCGTTGATGGGTTTTTGGGCATCCAGCAGCTCCTCGGTGTGGGTCAGCCAGGCCATCAGCTCGGCCAAGGCGTGCTGGAACTGGCCCAGGGCCAGCAGGGCGGCTTCCAGCTTGTGCTGGGCAAGGGCAGGGAGGGAAAAAGGCAACTTGGAAAGGGCTGGGAGCACTGCAGCGAGAATCCCAGATGCTCACTGCACTTGTCTGGGGGCAATTTTCTCATACCCATGTGCTCTCTGCTCCTGTCTGGAGCAATTTTCTCATTTTCTCACCCCCAGGTGCTCACTGGCTCTATCTGTAGGATTTTTTTACCCCCAGGTGCTCACTGTCCCTATCTGTGGGGTTTTTTTCACCCCCAGGTGACTCACTGTCCCTATCTACAGGATTTTTTCACCCCCAGGTGCTCAGTGGCCCTGTCTGTGTGATTTTTTGCACCCCCAGGTGCTCACTATCCCTATTTGTAGGGTTTTCTCACCCCCAGGTGCTCAGTGGCCCTGTCTGTGTGATTTTTTGCACCCCCAGGTGCTCACTATCCCTATCTGTAGGGTTTTTCCACCCCCAGGTGCTCCCTGTACCTGTCTGTGGGCGATCTTCTCTCCCAGGTTCTCCCAGAGGTGTTTGAGCTCCGTCAGTGGCTCCTTGATGATGTCTCTGTCCGTCTCATCCATGGCCTTTTTCAGCATCAGCTCCCCTTGGTGATTCAGCTTTTCCATCTCAATCTGCTGCTGGTAAACCTCCATTTTAAACTCCTGCCGAGGTGAGAGGKACAAAAACCAGAAATGGGTGAATCCTGGGAGCTGAGAGAGGTGGAATAACCCCACAGAGCCACCCCCAGCCCTCCYTGCTACCTTCATCTCGTTCATCTGCTCCTTCACCGTGCTCAGGTCCGTGCCCACCGGGGACATGTTGCACAGCTTGATCACGGCGTTGTCCAGCCAGTCAAACATGGCCTGGAAAGAATGGGGAAAATGTCAGGGAATGGCAAAATTCCCTCCTGCAGCCGATCAGGGGATGGGGA